GAGTATCTTTTTGGAAAGCACCATTTTTGGGAACAAGAAAAGCTCCCAGCATAGTGCTGTGGAATGTGGAAAGGATAAGCGAGAAATCAGCATGGAAAATGAATTATAAGGTTCTATTAGAAAAGTAAATCTTTGTAACGGTGCCTTTGAAGAGCCACACTTCAACTGGAGTATCTGCAGCTCTGTCTCCCCAAAAAACCTCTCACCTTGCTGTGCCACCACCTCAGCATGCAGAGTGCACCAACACCATCCCTTCTGTCAGGTCTTTATTGCTCTGAGATTGCTTTAGATGGATAATTATGAGAAACTCCAACTTCTGTACTTTCCTGCTGTTTCACAACTCCCCAAAACACTTTAGAACTCCACCCCACCACAACTAAAATGCAGTGTTCACATATAGAAAAGATATGTCTTAAATTTATGCTCAAGATCTTTATGCTCATCTGCCTGCAGTGGGGCACAAAGAGCAAACAGAGGCCCCCAAATATATACCATATAAACAAATCTTTTGGACCTATGATACAGTTTGTATTTATTACTTTTACTGAAATCACAGAGTCAAGTGTTTTAAGGTTACAACTGGTAAATTACACATATGTAAGTTTACAAAACAAAATATTGGCCTTCTGTGTGTCATTGTACAGTGTAGACCTTGCACAGTTCAGTTCAAAGGAATTTATAGTTTGTGTAACATATTTTTATGTTGTAAACTGGCTGACACAGTGGTGCTCTAAAAATATTAACTCCCTCTGATTAGACACAGACTAGGATGTAAAATAAGTTTTGTGACACATGCTGGTTTCTGAAAGGGTACTGGTATTTCAGCCAGGTGACAAAGTGACTTCCCACAATATGCTGACACCGACACTGCACAAAGAGGCACATGAAGCAACCTAAGCAAACCCAAACTTTGTGCTTTCCCCTTAGTCTTGCCTGCAATACCTTGTTCATTTTCTCGTATCTGATGCTAAGCAGATGACCTGGCAATAGAAGTTAAATTTATTGCTCTACAGAATTATACCCTGTCTCCAACTTACTTAATTCAGCATATTTCCTGTATCTGATGGGATTTTAACAATGCCTGTATGCCTGTCACTATATTTCATAAGATAACCTATTTGCAGATTTCACAGTTCACATGATAAATTGTGTAAACCAGCTAATATAAATAAAGAAAAACCTATGCTGTCACAGTGGTGTAAGTCTGAAGCACCTCCAGCAAAGCCAAATGATGCCATGAAGTAACTCTAAATTTATGTAGGTATTACTAAACCCAGTGTAACTTTTTTCCCCCGGGAGTGGGAGTTATGGAAACCCAAGTACTCACACAGACAAGCACACACACAAAATATGCACCTGCACTTAGCCACAGGTGTCTGAACATGATCTGTGCTAGACTGGTGTTTGTGGAGAGGATTTTACTGTCCTTACACTGACTCTAAGCCTCCACACACAACTTCCATGGCAAAAGATGCTGTGAGTTTTGTCCTGTGACTCACAGAGTGCAGAGCAGTGGGATGGTGTTGGGATGTTTGGTGTGGTGTGGCGTGGGGAGGAGCTCTTACACACTCACCTGTGTTTAGGGCTTTTCAAACTTTATCACTGAAAACTTGTGCTTGTGGATAAACCTTCTAAGCCCCAAAGCCCCTTCTGGGGTGCCAGCTGAGGACCCAGTTATCTCTCTTAGACTGAGACATTGCTGGTGCATGTAATAAACCAGAAGTACCTGCATTTGCAATGTTGTTTGAAACAAGAATTGAACTATATAATTGAACTATACATTAACTACATAAGTTAATATAAGGGCACCCATAGGAAAAAAGCCCTTGAAAATGTTGAACATGATAAGTATGAATACAGCGAGGCACTCTGGCAGCTCTATAAAAATCAAATTACTTCCCCCAGAGAATCCAATTCTGCCTCTCGCTATAGGCTCCACTTCCTCAGTGACAAGAGCATGGCATGAGGAGAAAAGGAGAAACATTCACCTGAACTTACTGCAGAAAGCCCACAATTAATGATAAACCCTCTTCAAAGCCTGCCCTTAAAATAATCAAAGCCCAGGATTTTGGATTGGGCCTTGAAAGGAAGCATCAGCCACTGGCCATGCCTAATTCCTCCAAAGCCTCGTGGCTGACTGGCCTTGGGCAGTGCCTGGGTGGCAGAAGAGAGGCTGAGCTGGACTTTAACTCAGGTGAACACTGGAGCAAGGTGACTTCCAGCAGTGTGGAAGTGTTTATGTGCAGGCTCTGGTACTGCCCTTGCAGAGCCATTTGTGTTGGTCAATGAACTTACTGCAGAAAAGCTGGAGGTCTGTCCACATCACATTTCTCCCCTCACACTGCACCCAATTCTAGTTCCCTTGAGGTCCGCACTAGCTGAATTGGAAGAAAAACAGGTATTATTCTCATGGAAACATGGTTTGCTGTTTTTTTAAAATCTAATTTTGCCTGATGCGGTGCAAAGAGCTGAAATACAATTAAGTAAAACATTGCAAAGCCTTCCAATTTGGGCTTTTGACTTTTTATAGCCATATATACATATTTATATATGTATATAAATAGTGATAACACAGAAAAAACAGCTTTTTTAATGGTTCAGTCCTCATAAACCATATGTTTGTCAAGCTATTTTATAGAGACACCCAGGAGTTTTCTCTTTAGTGTTGTCAATTAAACCTAAGAAGCTGCATGAGTGAAAAGTGCTGGCAACTCAGAGGAACTTCACTCCCATGGAGACAACTCCCAGCTACTGAATTTCTGCTACAATTAAAGCAAGGGGTAGGATCAGCTTTGGGGGTCAATCACTGAGGCCTCCAGCATGAACTGCTCGTGCCTTTGAGATATCAATCTGTTTTGTGAATTCCTCAGGAGCCACTACAGGGCTTTTTTGGTCTGCAGACCTTTGGGACTTGCTTGTTGGGAGCTTTTTAAAGTGTAACAAGGAGCTTGGAGCACGAGGTGTCATCAAATTAAAAAGCTACAACTTCTTGAAGGAAAAGATGGCAGCAGAAAAAGAATATACATCTACACATGTGTGTATACACATATACTCCTGTTCCATGCAAAAAGTCTTCTAAATAAAATCATACAAAAAAATGACCAGTGCCATATATTATGTAAACTCACAAGGTGTACTTTCAACACAAACCCGAAGCATAAATTAAAAGAGAGCCAGAAAGAGAGACAGAGATGATAGCAAAACATTTTAAATATAGAATTTGCACAATTGGTACTTTGTTAAATAAGAATAAATAAATTCATTACATCCGTTCACATACCAGTTGTAAAAACAATAAATTATTTTATTTTTTTCAGTGCTGTGTTGCTTTTTTTTTAAACAGTTGTTATTAATCCACAAGATTATTCCCTCTTCCCCTTGTGATAAAACTGTTTCCACAGGAGGGCAGCTAAACTTAATTTCTTGTACCCAGTCAAACCAAAGATGCCAGGCTTTTTCCTAATGAGAATATCCTACCTGAAAAGCAGATGCTGAAAACCCCACTGATGCTCAGGGGTCCAAATTCACCCATGGACACTGGAAGTGTGTCCCAAAGTCAGAGCGAATTTAACACTGAGATGGTTCCTGGCTGTGCCACGAGCAGAATTCCAGGTTTCCATCCCCTCGGTGCATTTCATGAATCCAGCTGTGCAACACTGGGCAGAAATGTAAACAATGATGTCACAGTGTGAGTGACACGGGATTCAGCTGAGAACAGACCCTGCACCAATTCCTCATCCATCAGGTACATGGGACAGCCATGACTGCCACAGGCAAGGTCTGGAACTGGACTCTGATTTAGGAACACCTGAAAAAGCAAGTGTTGGCTTACCCTTTATCTTACATTTTTCAGGTCCTGCCTTGGTCTGTCCTCCTCACATCTTTGCTTGTGTGAATTTGTTTCATTGCCACACTGGTGAAAATCACTGCAGTGGTTTGTTCTCATATTTATTTCTAAATAAACTCTTTCATTTTTAAAAGATACTCCTGATCTAAGGATGCTCTGAATTTATACCCGCATATGGCATGCCTAGAGAGCATCCAAAAGCTTTACTCAGCCTGCTGAATATATAATAAATTATTACCATGATGCAAACACAAATACTTGCACATTCTGTCTCTATTATGACAGAACAGAAACGCCACTTAATGCAGCAGCTGTATGCTGAGACACATTCAATCTCCTGATCTTTTTCCTCTCATGATGGTTTCTATTTGTTATGGACTTTTTGGAGAGGTTCTAGGACATGTGTAATACATATATATATAAGAATCAAAATTAGATTGCTTAGAAGGAAAAAAAAGGCATTTCAAAGTGATCTTATTTAAACAGGCAGAGGAGGCATAAATGTTTACTTTTTAACACTCTGCAAATCATCTGAGCCTTGATCTCAGTTCTTAGATTGGGATCAAGAGTAAATGGGGAGTATTCATCAAGACGCATAGTTTTGCACAGGATCGACTTCTGAACAGAAGGCCACACCATTTCTGAAAGCTGATTAATAACATTTGTTGGCAATCCATTTAACAGAGGAGGAGGCCCTGCCCTTAGTACTGTTTATTTAAAACAGGGTAAAAAACCAGATCCTTCTCCAGATTTCACAGTTGTAGATGTAGCAACTCTATGCTGTTTTGAAATCATCACATGATTTTTTAGAGTTCACACAAACATGCCACAGTTGCAAAAACATGTTTGTGTCAGCCTGGAGTCAGACCTACCCTTCTTGCTCCACACTGCAGTGAGTTTTCCCTGCTGATTTCATGCCTGGGATTTTCAGAAGAGCCTGAGGTGTTTCAGTGCTCAGGTACCACTGACTTACAGATGAGGCTTGTCTGAAAATCCTCCTGCAGTCTCCTGCTCTCCTGTGTGGATGAACAAAGGAGTAAAAGGTGGGGTTCTACTTTCATCAGTGGTTTTTTTTACCATTTCTCTTGGTACCTGTTCTCTGAGGGTCTAATTCAAAGCCTATTATTAAAGATATATTAAAGAGAGCAATTTTACCAAGGTTGCTCTCAGGCCTCCACCTGCACAAGGTAAAATGTCCAGCCTCAGTGACAGAACTTCCACAAGACAATAACAGGATTCAGGAATTGCTGCCAAGGAAAACTGTTACCAGCTACTGCCTGTGCTGTGGAAACAGTCTTATTGATATTGGACAAGTCCTCCACATCCTGATGTGGTCTGACTTCCTAGTGACCCCTCTTCCTCCCAAATGTAGATATACAAAACATGAATGCCTTCTATAGCTTTTAAAAAACCCCAAACACACACAAAACAATAAAAAAAAAAAAGACAAATAGTTACAAACTTTTGCTGGTAAGATGAATACCAGAGTTAGACACGATGGACAAAACAGTGATAAAATATTAACTGCTTGCTGTGTTTTTTTGACCTTGAGAGCCTCTTGAAAAGATGTAGGTACATTACACATTGTTAAATTCAAGGCAGAAGCCATAGAGAAAATACCAGAGAAAGCAGCTGAACACAGCCTCAGAATATCTGAGTTAGAAGACACTTGATTACCTCACCTGTAAGTTTGGGATCTCTAACTAGTTTTCTACAAAGCACAGTATGCCTTTGTTTGAAGGAGAGGAGCAGCTCGAGCAGCTCTTGCTCAGTGACAACAAGGAGCCAGGCTGTGACACAGCTGGAACCAGGGAGTTTTACAAGCACAGAGTATACACACAAACTCCTCCTGCAGCCAGCTCCTCCTTGGGTGCATGTCTGACACACACACAAGGAGGAGCTACTGATGCTCCTGCTGCAGGAGCAATGGGGGTTCCCTGCTCTGCAAGCAGCTGCAAGGCTCCTCCTGAGAATTCTGGGGTGGAAACACAGGGTTTGTCAGACATTAATGATATACTGTCAGGAAATTCCTACCGTGAAAACGTATTTCCTTTTGTCAAAACCAAAAGGTATCACTTTTTAAAACCAGCAGCAAGCTCTTCATTTTCCAGTAAAACATCTGTGGCCCTTTCTGAAGGATGGACCAAGTCCACAAGGGCTGCAGATATACTTTGGTCAATCATTTTGCTTATGTAGTTTGTCTTTTGATTTCTTTAATAGAGGAAGTGATATAAAGTGATATACCAACTGAAAGATATTTACAAAACAGTATAAAATAATCTACTGTGGGATCATGGGGACATGTGACGTTTCCTAAGGACATACTGTAGTAGAGGTAGGTGAAAAAAGGGGAGATGATTCTGTAACCTTCAAATATCCCAGGATCCTCCATTCACTAGTTTTTCTTCTTTTGCATTATTTTATTTTACGTTTTTGCAGACACAGAGGGCTTATAACAACTTTAACCTTACTTTCTTTGACGTATTTAGACCACCCTACCATTATTTAAAGCAGTGCACATCTTCATTTGGTCCGAACAGGCAGATTCTGCCCATAATTAGAGACTGAACACAACTTTGAAGCCTTTGCTCCTGTTTGTGTGGGCAGACCTGACACCAGCACGCCAACAGCGGCTTACTCAAACCTCCTGGAGAGCAGCTCAGCAGCACCACAGGTTAGCACTTTTTCAGCAAGCACTGTTTGAAGGCTGAGGGTCTCTGGGAGAGCAGACATCCCTTGGCCAGTTTCCCGTGCCCATCCTTGCACTGCACAGTCCTGGTGTGCCAGCCCGTGTCGCACGTTCGAGAGCAGGAGAGCCAGGGCCCCGTCACCCAGCGGGGCTGTGCCGCCGGCACCGGCGCTTTGCCGCTGCCGCCGGGGACGGAGTTTGGCAGCTGGGCCTGTTTCTTTGGCACGAAGAAGCTGTAGCGCACGTCCACGGGCTGCGTGGGGTCGGTGGCCAGGATCTGCACGATCAGGATCTCCTTGGTGGCCGAGTGGCCCATGGCGTGCAGGAAGTCGTCCTTGTGGCTCCAGCCGCTGTAGTTCATGACGGTGCCGTTGATGTCGATGATGGTCTCCGAGGTGGAGATCATGTACTTGCCGTTGACCAGGTACTCCCCGTTCTTCTTCTTCAGCGCCAGGTAGGCCGTGAACCTGCTCTGGTCCTTGCTCTTGAACTGCCGCACCTTGATGTGGGTGGCTCCTTCAGGGATCTTCACCACGTCCGTGTAGCCCTTGCTGGAGGAAGGGAAACAAGGAAGAGTCTCACTGCAACGCCTCACAAAGTCACTGGCATGACACAGAATCACAGCACCAAGCAGGCTGGAACAGATCTTTCAGTCCAACCTATGGACAACAACATCTTGCTTCATTTCAGTTCAGGCCACCTGGATTTTCCCTAAGATTAATTTAACCAGGTTCTACCCTTGGCCTGCTGTGTTGTTCTTCATGTTCCCCAAGAAGTTTCTACTGCACTTCTTGCAGATTGCTTAATCTTTAGCTTTAGGGACAGCTTGACGTGGGTCAGATACCAGAGGAATGAAAAACAACAGACAGCTTATAGATTTCAGCAAAGGGTGGGAGATATGAAATACGATGCACGCGCTGCCTGCCAAGGAAAAGATAATGAGATATGCATTGGTTACAGCTGTTTCTTGCTGTCTTTGCTATAATGATGATTAAGGAAAGCACGAACAGAGGAACAGCTGGGTAGAGGTACCTTGGGAACATTTAAAAATAGTCTTGATCACTGAGGAAAAATTTGTTTACTTTGAAATTTATAAAGCCAAAGATTAATTGTCAAGTGTCTAATAAGAGGGGCACCCAAAGGCTTCATTTGTGCCACCATGGAATTCTCTATTAGTTATGAACCATCTCAACTGGGATTTAGAAAAAGAGATTAAACTCTTTTACCAAAAGTGACAAGCATTCAAAACTTGCAAGTGTGCTGGAATTTATCACTATCTCAAGTATGTTATTTTAACTTTACTGATATATAGAAAACAATTTAAAGGATTTACATAGTTGTAAGCTACCAGCTGGACACTGGAGATGTGTTTTCATTCCTAAACCTGTGACAAAGCCATCTGAAAGTACCTCCTATCTGAAAGGTTTAATGAGAAAATACATGAAAAATACATAAAAGTGATGGCATCTCCTTTGGGATTGTTTAAAGAACAGACTGCTAATTTTGAGAATTTTTGGCTGCACAAGTAGAGACTGCAGATATTACAAATGAAACATTTGTGCTGATCCCCTGCTATTTCCAGCAATTATGGGACAATGACTTAAGACTCCATTGATTTAGCACCTCCATAAAGCTGGAGCAGTATGGTGTGAATCCCAGGCTGGGGACTCTGCTCTACAGCACTGCACAAATATTTTTACATGAGAGCTGCCAGAATAACTCAGTTCAAACATGTCATTAAAGTTACAAAATCATTTGTTCAAAACCTACAAGCAGTCCTGGAGAATTCAAGTTGTCTGCAAGAAGAGCTCTAATGCTCCATGTGCACAGAGAAGCATGTGCAGATTAATTCCTCTCTTTCCCAACTTCTGATAATTTGGCTTTACAGCTTTTTAAACAAAAATCCTAGGAAGCAGACTTCCCAGAAGATTCTGGTTTGCCTGCTTTAAAAGAAAAAAAAAGCACAAACAAATGTTGTCATGGCAATTGTCTGCAATGACAAACATTAGTTTTGCCTTGTACATTTAAATTTCCCTGTACATTTCGTGTACAGATTGTTGAAGTTTATAGTGGACAGCAACAAGGGAACTGTCATTTTTCAGTGGAGGAAAGATGATTTTCCTACCAGCACTGCCCTTTCAAACAAAACTGCAAAAACAGTTTACAGACAATTAAGATTTCACTATTTTAATCAGGAGTTTATTTTAACCTCAATTACTCGCAGAGAAGAATTGCCCCAAACAACTTTTCCAGTAAAAATAAATCTGCAGTCTCAAATCCAATCAAAATCATATTAGAACATAAATTTACCCTCTGGCCAGTCTCATGACACTTAAAAGCATAATGTGAAGAGTAAGATGGTAACTTCACAGGGATAATTATAATAAATCTCTCCATTTCCAAGTGTATCTGTGGTACAAATTTGGCCTCCCTGAAATTCATGGAGCCCCTCTAACACTTTTCCTGGCCTTGATTATTGCCAAATCACATGAAATACATCTCCTACTGTCAACTTCACTTAGACATTCCCAGACATCCCAGTATTTACAAACTGGAAAATATTTGGTTTATATAATTACTAATTTGGTTGGAAAGCCATTCTTTTTGGCAGAGGCCTTTTGGCATCGTTAGGTGAGCAATCATTGGTTTACCAAGAAGAAGATTAGTTATGTTTATTTTTAGAATAAATTCACACTCCAAGCCATTTTTGACTGCTATTAATCAGTCTGCTGAAATGTATAGAAATAAAAGATCATTTCAGGAGTCAGATTTCAACTTCTGGTAGCTTTCAACATGCTATGTAAGAATTTGGAAGTTATAAAATCAAGTTCATGTATCAAAGATGCTTAACAGAGTCACTGATTTTGAATAGAAACTGTCAACTAAAAGTTTCTATGTGTAGATCAGTCCTTTGAGATTTTGGAATAGGTATACATGATGATTAAAGATCCAAATTTTTCGATGAATTTTAAGAATTGAAGAAGGAAAAAAAAATCAGTTGACAGAAAGGACTTCCTTGACATTGGTCTATCAGTACTGGCCCAGGCGTCGTGAGCGAAAACCATGGCAAGAGTTCCTTTTATTTTATTTATATTAAGCTTTATTACAGTTAGAATGTGAACTCTGAGAGACAAATGGCTTGTGGATAAATGCCATAAATATTTTGACTTTCAAAAATCCATCTGGAGACTGATAATATGCCAGTGGACATGAAGGGATATGAAGGGATATAGTCATGAGTAAGCCTATGATATTTCTGATATCTATTTACCTGAACTCCACACATACTCAGCAGTGGGAAAAGAGAATTTTTGGGTATAATCTCTCTCAGCTGTTAAGGGAGGTGTTTACAGCTATCTGCTTCTCTGCACTTCTAATACAAGGAATGTGTGTCACAAAATCAGGTGGGATGTCCTCAGTGCCTCTCAAAATAGATGAGATGAAAAAGCACTCTCAGGGTGTAGCTTGCTAATGCAGCAACAAGTGAGAAATGCAAAATTTCAGAGAGATGCAGATAATTCTGATCCCAACAACTTTCTGATTCACCTCTCCCTTTTCCTCTGTCCTCTATGAACCACAATCCATGTGACACAGCAAGATTTGCAAGTGCCATGACTTGCTATTCCTGCTTCACTGGCACTTTGTGTCAGAAATGAGCAGGGTGCAGTGTTTTGCCAGTTGATGCTTTGCCAATTTCAGGATAATGCTAGGAGCCAGCTGTGCACATCTGGAAACTGCAATAAGCTACAGGCAGTGTGGTTTTTCCCCCATTTGAAAGCAAATTGCATTTAGAGACAGAAAGCAAGCAGCACATGGCAGAGTAATGACTTGCACAACAAGATGCACTTGCTGTTGAGATCAGTACCTCTTTTTGGTGAAGGTTCCCATGACTTTTGTGCAGCTGGAGTTGTCTCCTCCACACACCCCACACTTGTCATACTGCAGCTTGGATCCGATGATGCCGTCGCAGCCCGTTCGGATGCACTTCCCTCGCACGCAGACTGAGTTGCTGTAGGGCCGACACTCGGTGCCATCGGTGACCTGGGCAAGCAAATAAAACTTGGTTCAGAATGCCACAGAGATTTGTTGGTTTGGATCCACCTGGCAAAACCCAGTTCCTTACTGAAGTTACCAGCTCAGAGCAGGTCGCCTTCCCTGACAGATCACACTAAGTTTCTCTAATTTTGATGGTAAAAAAGCAGATGGAATCTAGCACAAGGACAAAAGCAAGGACAACTAACTTTCAGTTTGGATTGCATCTGATAGAACAAACTGACTACAAGTCATATCTGTACCACAAACTATCCTCTGCTAATTGGTTCTTTAGGAATTACTCTGGACTCCTTAAACATAGTTCAGGGTTAGATCTACTCTTTTCTCCTAATGCTCTTTTTCCTCCAGAAAACTCCACCCCAGAGAATGACAGAGAACTCCAGGCAGAAAGCCCTTTATCCACTACTGAAAACAACCTAGTGCAGAGAGGCCCATAATTTTCATGCATTCACATACTGAGATATGGAAAAACTTATCGCATTTTCTGGCCCTAAGGTACAACCACTGGATTAAACCATTAAAACCGATCACACTGTTAAATATTTGCATCACACGATTAACTTATTTTCCCTGGTTGTAGGGAAAGATTTCTAAAATATATGGGACACTTCTAAGGTGGAGCATGAAACCCTGACTGGAGCTGCCATTACCTTCTGAGAAAATACCACATAATAACCAGTTCCTTTGGCTCGGCAGGTGAGCTTGCAGACGTCTCCAGGCAGTACTCCAGCATACTTGGGGACCCATTCCACAAAAGTCTTGACCCCCTTTGCATCAGACTGATAGCCATTCCTTGCTTCACACTGCTCTTGTCGGAAGGATTTAGCTGTGGAATTATTCACATCATTAGTGGCTATTTCAGACCATGCTGCAAATATCATTATGTCCATCTATTATTCCCATTTCTTTCCTACATCATTTTTAAGTTATGTCACACCACTTCTTTACTTAGAACTGGCCTTCCAAATCCCTCTACTGTTTTAGCTTGGAAATCTCCCAATTGCATAACAAACGGTAAAGGCCTAAAGTTTGCATGATTAATTTTAGAGGACTGACTTTTTTAGCTTTCTCTACAGCACCCAGGGTGAGGTGTGGGTGAAGAATTAGGATATTGTAGTGATGCTGAAGGTCTTGCCTTGATAAACACAACCTGGGGAGGCCACAGTGAGCCCTTGCTGTGTGGTTTCAGGGCAGATACTCAGTGTTCAGTGTCTGTGAAGGGAGGCAGGGCTGGAGCAGGGGGCACTCACCGTTGGCAGGGCAGGGGGTGACGTTGCAGGAGCGGTAGATGGCCCGCTTGCCTGTGCAGTACCTCCCGTTGTTCCTGGGGGCTGGGTTGTTGCAGTGCCGATAGGCAAACTGCACTCCTCCCCCACAGGTACGGGAGCACTGTCCCCAGGGGCCCCAGGACCCCCAGTTGCCATGGCTTGAGGCCTGAAAAACACATGGAACAGCAGGAGGTGAGTTCATCATCCAAACATGAATGGAACTGTTACCTCAAAGTCACTGCTAATGCTTTCCTCAACTGAAGGCAATTCCTTCAGTTGGCCATTCAGGGAAAGCAGGTCTTGGGAAACTTCTTTCTCCCAGCAAAGTTAATTTCTATCTTCTTTTGCACACTGATATCTCATTTGCACTGTGGGTGCAAAGCCAATGCTGGGTCTTGCTCGTTCAGCCTCTTCACAGAACACATCCACGGTTTCATGAGCTGCTCTCTTATTTTTGCTATTCCTACCAAAAAGGCCCCTTAAACTGGCTCCAAGAGTTCAACTCCCAGAATATACTCATACTGCTAATCTGAGATTATTTAAATCCAACTGTTGTGATGTGTAGGTATTGCTTGGAATTACTGGCAAGTGATGGAGTTGTCAATTCTGCTACATTGGCTATAGTATTGCAATATCATGTGGAAGCACAGAAATCCATAAAAAAGGGTAAAGAAATCAATTTAAAAAGTGTTAGAAATGCTGTATCTTGATTTGAATGGCTCCCATAGTTTGCAAATATTTTCTCAAAGATCTACAAGTCCTCATCTCTTCTGTGGGTGTAACAGAAGGGGCTACTGTCTACGCAGAGAATTTATAAGTATCTGAACTGTGTAGCTGACAGCTCTCATGAGCCTGGGAATTCTTCAGATGTATAAAGTAGACAGGGCTTCTCTGTCACTGGAAGCACAAGCTTTTCTTGATCCAGAATTTATATTCTGGACTAATTTCATCTGCCCTTTTCTTCATTAGAATTAGGGACCTGGGGCCTTTCAGATAAGGGCTGTAAGCTAAATGTGAAGATGAGATTTATCTTGTTTTCTGTGCCAGGTCAGAAAGCCATGATTTACTGAATGGGAAGATCACTACATCCAGTTTTCCAGGAATGAATGCTTTCCTTAAGGAAGAAAATACACTTCCTGAACCTCAGCAGCATTTTTCCTCACCAACAACACCCCAATTACATGCTAAGAAAACACGGCAGGTCTGTCTGAGAAGCCCCTCCGAGAGATCACCCTTCCCAATTCCCCTTGGGGTAACTTACAGAGTAGTATTTCTTCTTGGTTTTGTCCACGCATTTCCCTTGGAGGCAGATCCTCCCCTTGCCACAGGGGGTTCCCTCGACGGCGGGCAGCTTCTTGGTGAGGCAGACCATCTGTCCCTGGCGCACCACGGCGCACCAGAGGCGCGAGCACACGTCCATGCCGGGGCACACGGTGTACTCGGTGCCGAACGCCAGCTTGCACTGCCGGATGGCGTCGTACGTCTGCCCCGGCAGCTCCTCGGGGCCCACGATGTGCTTCCTGGGCTGGTCCAGCAGGCAGTTCCCTGCAGGAGCAAGGCAAGGTGATCTTTACTCGCTTTTTTACTGTTCTTTTCCCTGCAGTGCTGCAATATTGTCTTGCAACAGCGAGCCTTCATCAAGGGATGGCGATGTGCAAATTCTGAGGTGGCATCAGGTTTTCACAAGGTCAAACTGCTGCCACTGTGTTCTGACCCTGCTGCTGAGCTGCCTATTCCCAGCCTGAGGTGTAAATGAGTTTTACCAAGGTCCTTTTGGCCTTTCAGTCCGTTATGCAAGACTCGGAACACATTCCGTGCTATTTATCAGTCTGTGATTTAAGGAGCAAGCTAGACTCGCGTAAGCAAGACTCAAAGCAAGCACAGTTGTAATTTGAGTTTTAAATCAGGATGTCAGAAAGGGATGCCAGAAAAATCAAAAAGCACAGACTTGTAGCCAATGAGGCCAAAAACCCAAACAAAACAGATCGAAAAATCAAAATTTCTACCAGGCTAAAGGAAAAATATAAGCTGGGTATCAAAACCAATGTTGCCACTAAAGCTGGACTGCACTTTCCCTGTAAGGAGTGATACTTGGCTGCTTATGGAACTAGTTTGAAAAGGGTTATGTATTTTATACAAAACCCCATAAATAGCAGGAAGAAAAAAATTGCACTAATGTACAGATTTGTATTAGTGTTTTAAGGTCTGCAGTGGTCAAGATTTGTCTGCCACATTCTAAAAATGAGAATTCAAATTTATGTTCTAGGTATCTTCTGATAGCTGGGGTTTTTTTACTATTGAAAACCTCACTTGTTGACATACAGAACTATTTATTCAGTGTAACCTCTTTTACACTTCATGAAAGGGATATGTGGTCTGGGCAAGCTTCACTCATCCTCAGCCAAAATAACTCACCACAATTTACCTCACTTTGGAACCCACACCAGTGTTCTTCACTTGCATCATGACTGAAAAAAGCCTATCTATAAAACCCTCACTATTTACACAAAATGGAATAGAATTTCAAGCTATGGCAGGGAGTTTAAGCAAACCAAATATCCCATTTCTCAATAGCTTGTATTTTCCTTCCAAAACACACACACTTACTAGAAATGTTCTGCTCTTCTAAAGACTAATGCCAATTAGCCAAATTAGCCAAAAATTCTTTCTGTGTGATGACTTATAACCAAAAACTGTCTTGTAAAACCTGTTCCATTTGCTGACCCTGATTTACCCTAGCCTTTTATTTCATCTGGATTATGTTGAAATTTTAATGCAGACAAGGTGTGCTAATGCTAGCTGTCATGACATAAAGATAATTAAAAATACCCTGGGTTGTTATAGTGTAAAATATTAGTGATGTGATGAGGAGTAAGGTTTTTCCTGGAGTTTCTGGACATAATTTGCTGAAGTTTTGGCAAAAATACACTCTGTAAAAGTAAACAGCAGTGGAAATCCTCCTTCATATACCTTGTGAGGAGGGAGGAATCCACTGAAATGTGAGGGCAGTGATGGGAAGACTGTACTATGTCAATATTCAGTATTGCACACTGCTTTTGTACCTATGCCTAAGTTTATCAAACTCCCAAGCAGAGCTATTTTTCAGTATTTTACAACGTCACAATAACACTTTGACTGGAAATACAAATTTAGAGAAAAAGGAAAGAAAAGTCTCCCCTTGCATAAACCCATCTGTCAGTCATTTCAGTCTCACAAGCTCACACAGCAAATGTAGCATTTTTTCCCCTCCAGAACACAGGAGAATGAGTTCCAAACTTCTCCTTAACTGAGGGAAGTTGTGCAATCTCTACAAAGCCAGGTGCTCCAGCTGAGCTCACATGATAAATTCAAAACTGAACATAGGGAAGGCCCCATAGGATTTCCCACAGGAAAAAAAAATCTTTATATGGGTAGACTGCAGCAGTGTCTGTGTTTGGACAGGGTGCAGTGAGCTGCAGGTGTTTTTGCCACCAGCTGGTCCAACCTCCTGCTTGTCATGGCCCCTGGTGGGAGGGCAGAGGGGGGCTTCAATTCTCCATTACATTTCAACATCCAGAGCATATACATAACTGCTATTCCTTTTTTTTTGTCCTGGGCACCAAAGAACATCTTTGTGCCCTGGAATAGAGCAACATTGTTGGCTGATGACAGTGCTAATTAAGCCATCTCATTATCTCTCTCAATGCTGTATGTAATATATCTCGGGAGAAAAAAAGGCGGCGGAACAAGATCTGTGCAGGAAGCAGATAAGCAGGATATAAATTAATTAAAATACAAACAGTCCTTGTTCCAGGTTGCACAGAGCACTGGGACTGAACACACCAAATCCAGAGCAACCATCCCACAGCCCGTTGGTTGGCATGACAATAAAGGCAATTAGTACCTTTGGAAAGGCTTTGCTAAAAGCAGATGGATATAAATGTCACTCTCCTCTGGACACAAACCGAGCCTTTTCTTCCTAAATGTCAAACTGTTGTCTGGGGTCATATCATGAGTGTAAAAAATATGGTGATACCATGACAGAGCTGTTTATTGTTCTCAGAGCAGGCCCCAGGAGACAGGGAATCAGCACCTTGATCCTCCCCAGCCCCCTGGCTGACCTTGGACCAGACATTTCCATTGGGATTTACTCAGCTGGCTTCGTGTACTGCTGGTATCTGCAGTGCACTCAGCTGTCAGGTGTTTCACAGCCTAGCAAAATCAGTTTGTGGCGTCATTCAGCACCACTCATGTCCCCAGTGCTGCTGAGGCCACTGATTGTCAGATCAAGTTTACAAATAACTTAAAATCAAATTATTGACTTCCACTTCAACTTAGTAGAAGTTTGTATTCTGTTAGGACAGGTCTCTGATTTTAAAAAAATAACTGGGAAATTATAAATTTCTACAGAAAAGAAGACTGTTACATAGAAAAGGTCTCTGAATGGCTGATCCATCAAGAAAAAGAGATTCCTTAAATACGCATTTGAAATCACAACAATAGCACCAGCAATACAATTAATTCCCAGAGGACTACAGACCTACATGAGAGGTTCAAATTTGCTATGAAAAATTTCATCATAGCAATAACTCTTGAAGACCACACACCTAAATGATAGCTACTCATGAACTGAGGAGAAAACAGTTCCTTACATTCTCTGAGAAGTCATTCATGGATGGTGGGAGAGTTACCTCAGTAGCTCAAAAGGGAAAGTTCTCTTCATTTGTGGAAATTAATTTGGTAATATTACATCAATGCCAGAGCAATATGGATCGTAAAACAGGATAGTACAGATTAATGGATCTAATAAAACTGAGAGAAAAAATTAAGTCATGCAGAGAAAAATATTTCAGAGAGCACTGAAATCAGCCAACAAAATATTTAAGAGCAAATCTTTACATTTAGCAGACACACCATACATTTATCCATAAGCATTTTGGTTACCATAACAACTTGATCCATTCACTCAATTATGTCATTTTTATCTCAGCATTTTGGAATTTGAGTGGTTTGTTTAATAACTGCAGTTGCTTTGGGAGCACAGTGAAGACTTTAAAATTCATTAAAGAGTGAAGCTGAAGACTATACTTTTTCATTTCTACTTTTGGAAAACAAAATTTTTGTCCTTATTCCCAGAGGGGTAAATGTCATATTTAGCAAATAAGCTGCCATAAAGTGTTCCTATTAAAAAATACAGATTGACAGTAAGAAGTAGCATGTAGCTGACACAACATACCATGGCCATCATCAAAGAACTCTGTGATAGTTGCTGAAGTGCACTTGGACCAGGGTTTTGAAGCATCAATGCTGGTCAGAATGGAGGACATCAGGCGCTTGTCCTCCATGGAGCCAAAGTTCTCCTCACAGAACTTGGAGTCATCATGGGAAAGCCCAAGCAAGTGCCCTGTGGAAATGAAACAAATAAATACAATTATATGACTATCCAGAGTTTATCAGCTGGAGCTCACAGTCATGTGAGGGAAGGGAACTGTACTCATTTATATTTATCAACAATTGATTTCTTACTGATTTTACAAATCACCTTCAGCAAGAAAAGCTTTGTGAAAATGTTCTGCAACTGTCTAGAAAGGAGCTACATCTTTTTGAATAGCTAAAAATAAAATTATTTATGATGCAACTAAACAAAGGGTAGAAGAATGAATGGGAATAAAGCTGCAAAGAGCTGAAGCCTGAACTTATTGCTCAAAATGTTCAGCTTAAGCCAGAAGTTGATTAATAAGATATGCAGGGCTAAACCAAGAGTGCTTTAACAATAAGGACAAGACCTCCCATCAAAGCCACTGAAGAAAAAAGTCTGATGCCCTGAAAGGGACTCATTCTGCAAGATTTGGCCTTTTCTTTTTTCAGGTAAGTGAAACCATTTTTGTTTGGCAATACTTCCTATATAAGGCCAGATAAAGCTGTTTTTACGCTGCACTGAGACACTGAATATCAGGAGGTACATGTCAAGTTTCAATCTGATACAGCACTACATACAAAGACTTGCTCTGAAGAGATGACAACAGCTTTGTTTCATTCCAGACAAATGCTGCTGTTGAGCAAAACAATTCACTGCTAAGATTATTATTTCAAACTGACAGATTCCTCTGACAGAGTAACCAAATAATCAGTGCACCACTTGTAATCTAAAGAACAAACTCTCTGGAAGTGGGTTGAGCATTTAATACATTGTATTTACACTGCATTTACTGATCCAAGATTGCTCACAGTTGTAGAAATTACCTCACTGCAGAATGTTTGTGAAATAAGGCAATGAGGGTCTCTCAGTGGAAAAGGAGTTTAATTTTTAAGTCTTTGCCTTGGAACTAAGCAGCCCTGGGTGAATAAAAAAAGCTGGAGCATTGATCCAAAGAGTTTGGCTCAGTAACATCCCATGGCACTCAGCACTGGTTCAGCGTGGGATATGAATGATAGTTGGGTGCACACCAGCAACTCCAGGATGTAATTTTTCAGAGTGCTCAGCATTTTATAGCACCATTCAGAACTACCCAGAGCTCTGTGACATGGAGCTTTCAGTCCTGCAGGCCAGAACTGCAGTTTGTCACAGCCTCTGGTACCACTCTATCCATTAGGCCTTTTTCTGACCTAGTGATGTTTTAAAAACTTTGATTCCATGTTCAGTCTCATGTGAAGGGTGAGACAATACAGATGTTAGAATTCACCATCACAATCAGCAGCCAACTATTTCCTAATTCCAATACACTGTAAGTGTTTCTTGGCCTGTCAGCTTTTGCCACATCACGCTGTAAATGCCTTAAAGCCAATCATCTAAAATTACCCCTTGTGGGTCCTACTACAATGCATCTTTCATAGTTCTGTTTCTCTAAAGTATCCAGTCTTATTTGTAAGGCCATCCTTTGAAACGTGTTTCTAGTTCCATTTCCATCTTCTATCAGAAGACAGTTTCCACCTTCTGTCAGACTTTAAAAATTCTCTACAAATTCATTTCCCACACCACTCTGCAGCACTTCACCCAAGTAAGATATAGTTTTGTTCTCCAGACAAAACCCTTTATTGCATAACTGTACTTCACTCTTCAGGACTGTTCATTTTCTGCTAAGGACATCCCATGGAATAACTAAACAATACAGTGCCCATATTCACAGCCTGCTAATGCTCCTGCAGCTTGGGCTGCTCTTGTGTTTCTCTTTCTTTTTTTCTCCTTCATAGAGACAAATAAAAAATAGCCTTTGGATATGAGGAAGATTGCAGGTAAATGTCAAGCTCTTCACTTTGAGCAGAGAGACTGAGGATTCCTTCATAACACTGCTGCAGTTTAGCCTCCCTCCTCAGAAAAAGCCTGGACAGCCTCAATGGAGAATTTCAGAGTAAATAAATAAAATGAAATGCTTCTCAGGCCACTGTTCAGCACAGAACGTTTCATCCCAAATACTTTGGCAAAAGCAGAGGAATCTGAAACAGGGTCATCTCCTGGAAAGTGTCAGGCCACTGAATTCACCTTTAATGAGAAAGCAGCATAACTTCTCTGCTTTACAGTGATAAATGGGGTGAACTGAGGACACACCTCATTAGCAGCCTTTACTTTGTCATATTAAATCAGGCCATTGTTCCAGTGCATGACAAGAACCAAGTCACTTACTTGGCAGACTTCAGCCTCCTGGAGGAGAAGCTTCCCAAAGAATTTATGAATCTCCCTCGTTATGTTTAAAATTTTCAAAAATAATTTAAAAAATCCATCATGACAAGGAAAGAAGCAGTAAGTAGTGAATAATTTCTAAAAAACATAATTCTGATTGTCAGTGTCTGGGCTTCTAAATTAGCTCCCTGTGATGTTAGTGAGGATAATACCATTAAATATATGGATTTTAGCTCTCCATACTGATTTGCCAGTTAATTTTGTATGCACATGTCCTGGGGTGACAAACACTTACATTCACTTACAAACACTGTGAATGCAACTCTCAAAGGATTTTATGGAGCTAAAATTCCTAATTCTTACCACAACCTAAATTTCTCCCTGTTCTAACTTTGCCTTTTAAGGCACTCTGACCAGACTTAGAAGTGATTAAAGCATATGACATACTCCCAATGATGCTGCAATCTGGTTTTGCATTTCATTAAAAAGAATCAAAATTCAAAATATCACAGAGCTGCGTAATCTCTATATACTGCCTGGCTAAGGTTTGCTCTTTTTAGCACAGAAGTGAGAACAGCAAAGTCCTTTAACACCTGTACCCTTCATCCTTTTGCATCCAAAAATTAAGGGAGGGACACTTTCCTTCCTACTTCAAGAAGTCTCTCCCCACCACCCCTCACATGCACAACCCTGCTGATGTTATTACATGACATTAGGGTGGTTTCTGGCATTTTCTGGTGGGGTGCTTCCCTTCCAAATTGGAAAGGCTGATCCTTCAAGTGACCCTGCATGGAAGCAGAGCTCTGGAGAAAGCTCTGGTCAGAAGTCAAGACTCTAGGAAAACAAATCTTACACAGAAGACTTTTGAAAACAATGCCAATTTTAGCCCCATCCCATTTTGTACCAGTACGAATGTCAAACTGAGCTATTGAAGAAAAAGCAAAGGCTCCCAGCAGCTGTGTAAAACGATGACTGATTGGGAATGGGTTCGTAGATTATCTGCTATTTTCTACTTAATGAAGCATCTTACTGGTGCTGACAGTTCCCACTGAGTGAAAATGACATAATACAATTTTACCAGCAGGATGGTGCTTAGTTAAGTTATGCTGTAGGAATGCACAAAATGATGAAGGAAACAGATGGAGGGGAGGCAGGGTTTGCCCTCTTGTAGCCAAGGAGGAGGTGGTCTGCTTGTAAATTCATCTCAAACTCCAAAAAGACCAACAACCCAAATGGAGTGACATCCTCCCCTCACAGCTTTCCCTGCTGAAGGCCAACATCTGCTACAGTCCAGCGGGAAATAATACCTGCAAAGGGTTAAAAAATGATCCCTACACCTTGCAGGAATGGGGGGTATATCCCTAACACAAGGTGGGGATGTTTCAGAGTCAGTTACAACTTTCATCCTCTCTGAGGATCAGGACACAAGAGCCCTGCAGGGAAATCAGGAGTGCGCCAGAGCTGTGCTGCATGTGTGGTGAAGCAGATCTCTTATTCCCATGAACACTGGGAAACAAACCAGAATCACACAACATCCTGAGCTGCAAGGAACCCACAAGGATCATCCAAGCCCAGCTCCTGGCCCTGCCCAGGACAGCCCCAAGAATCCCACCCTGTGCCTGGGAGCATTGTCCAAACACTTCTTGGAGCCTGGATATTTCTTAATATACAGTTCTAGACTATCTGCAGAGGTTCTCTGAGTGAACACCATGCAAAATTTACTGTCATACATTTCTCACTGGCATTTCAAGCATTAGAAACAAGAAAGCAGAAAATATCCACAACATGCAGCAAGCCAACTCCAGGCTTTGCTAAGGCACAAACCAAGCTGGATCTCCTGGAAAAAAGCCACCTGCTTATGGACAAGAACTTGGACAGAATGTCAAAAAGCAGCTCTTGCACTCCCTTTGACCACAGGAGACATGCAAGGTGACACAGCAGGCTGGAAATGCTGCAGGCATTGTAATTTGTTTTCTCAGAGGAGCTCAGCTCGGATGAAGCACGTGTTTGCCAGTGAGGTCGTGCCTTTCACCTCATTTCCAGCTGGGACAACTGGGGAGCAAAAGAAGGTCACGAGATTTGCCCCAGGTTCCCCGGTGAGTCAGTGGCTCTCGTGGGATCAGGGCTCAGGAAGCTCCTGGCTCAACATTCCTTGGGCTAATAATCACCAGCCCAGACCTCTGCATCAGCCTCCTGCTCTCCCCTTGGCTGAACGACGATTGCACGTGGGAACTCTGTCAAAACAAAACCATTTCCTCTGGCATGGGCTGTTTTCCTAACTCCTGTGAGTTTCTGACTCCTTCTTAAGAACTTCATGCTGCTATCACTCAGGAATCGTCTTGAAGTCATGATGGGCCTAAGCAATAGCAATTAATAAAGCTGGTGGTTTTTCTAATAAACAGAAGTGATTTGAATTACACAAGCTTACCAAAAAAAAGCATAGAATATAAAACTAGACATTCCTCTTTTTTTTATTCTTGAACTTTACTTCCAGTTTTCTTTTCTTTGACTGCTACCAGCCACTTATGAAATAAAAAGGATTTAAAAAATCACTCTCTCTTTTAAATCTCCAGCCCAGAGGCAGTTTTTAATATTTCTGGCTTAAAAGAGTCTTCAGACTCAATGAAACAATAGTCTGGCGTGCACCTTCTTCTCAGGAGCAGACACTAAAAAAAAAAAAGCCCCAATCAGACATTTACCCACCAGTGCTGCAGACTTTACACAAAACAAACCTGAGCTGAGCTGGCTTGTTGTAACAGACTTGAGGGAGATCACAGACCCATCAG